AGACCCCAGCTCCAGAGACTCCTTGACACCCCCCAGGCCAACAGGAAGTAGCCAAAAGAGTCCATGATACCAGTTGGCTCTGGTACCTTTAAATATCTCTGCAACCTCCTCCTCGGGTTACTGTGATCCTAAGGTGGGAAAAGTCTTACTCCCCACTCCAGGATGCGGGGAGTCACGTACCATGCTATGTCTCCAATCCAAGACAGAAAAGGCAATCTAAGGACTTTGATAGCCCCTCTGGGAATCAATCCCTCCCTGGCTTATTCCTTTCTTGAGCTGCTAACAGCAATTTTTGCCTTTTACTAATTGTGTCGTGCATTTTAGATAATTATTGTCATGGAAAAGATGAGTACCTTTACCAACCAAACTAGCAAGCAAATGCCTCTTCAATGGTACCCCACCCAGCCAACAAATCAGGGACCCCTGACTACTTCACCCCTTTACAGCAGGAAATAGCTTCAGAAAAAATGACTTCCACCCACATATCCCCTGGGCTAGTTCCCCTATTTTTATTAAACAACAAAGCAGAGAATGTTAGTATTATCCCCAACCTTTGGTCCTCAGCTGCACCATACCTGAGTTCCTCCCTGACTTAAGAGTTTGGGCCACACAGCTGGCCACTCCCTCTCTCCGCCCAGACCTACATGGCACCCAGACCCTCCTGCCACTTGGATAGGGACAGAGCCATGCGATCCTTCTCCTGGGAAATATGGCCCCTCTAATAAACCCTATAATAATCTTTCTTCTGTGCCTGCTTGCCTGAACGTGGTTCCCTGGGATGGACGTGAAGGATTACTGTGACTTGAGATTCGAAAGTGAAAGCAGACTTAATACCTTCCTATCCTGTAGTTTTGCATTCAATGGAAGCAAACATAAGAATAAATACCTTCAAATTGGGACACATGCTCTATGGAAAGGAAGGTCTTAAAAGGATTTAATAATCATTTGGGCTATTTACCAGTAGCTCATGCCTGTAATCCTCACTACTCAAGAGGCTGGTATCTAAGGATCACAGTTCAAAGCCAATCTGGGCTCATCTCCATTTAACCACCAAAAAGCTTTTAAATGGAAAGTGAAGCTGTGTTTCAAGTGGTAGTGTCAGCCTTGAGAGAAAAAGCTGAGGGACAACACTGAGGCCCTAAGTTCCAGCCCCAGTACTGGATCAACAACAACAAAACCAAAAATCATTTGGGAGCTAACTGGCCAAAAAACTGTCAAAGCTGGAGGAGGTATCTGAGCAATGATCTGAAGTTTAAAAGAAGGAAAACCAGCCAAGACGTGGGAAGACGGCATGCCAGAGAAAAAGAATGAGGTAGGTTTGTGTTTGATGGGTTTGTGGATGCTGCAAGGATCGAGAGGGATGAAAGTAGGGAAAGGTGGGAGACAGGCCAGAGGTGGGCAGCGGCTATGCTGTGGAGGGAGGTCTGAGGCAAGGGGCCGCTTGAGGGATAAGTGGAGGCCAACACGGGGGGTCTCAGGGCGGGCAGACGTGCGCCCAAGGGCCTCGGGGCGCCCCGTGCTGCTCTCACCAGGCGCGCACTCACCAGGTCGGGCCTGTAGTACCTGTGCACCACTTGGGCACCGGCGCACATGGCCAGGAGGCTGGCCGCCAACATTTTCAAGTAGCTGGGCCAGGACACACCCGCGGGCATGGTCGGAGGGCTGGCGGGGAGGGAAAAGGGGCAGCGTTAGAAGGTTCTAGGCTCACGACCAGCCGCACGGTTACAGGGGTTCGGGGTGCTCCCCTACCCCGGGCGCACGGGTCTGTCTTCTCGGTTCTGACAGGTCACCGAGAGGACGAACGCTCGGCCGGGGCCAAGGTGCACCCTTCAGGCCTCGATCCATCGGTGAGGGGCTCCCCGCGTACCCACCCCACCCACCCCACCCTCCAGGGAGAGAGGCGCGGCAGACAGGACCCCTGCCCCCACCCCGGCCCCGCGGGACGCCGGACCCGACCTTCGGGAGCACCCGCGCTGGGGGAGCCGCTCTCTCCCCAGTTCCGGCGGAAGTGCGCGCAGCAGCGGGCGCGGAACAAGAGCGGGCCGGACCGAAAAGGCTAGCGTGACAGGCACCTCGCCGGAAGGGATCAGCGGAGCACCAGGCGTGCGGCGTGCGGGGCGGCGAGCTTCCGTGACCCGGGCGGAAGTGGGGCTCGGAGGAGCGCGGCGTTGATCATCTCTCGGTGTTTCACTCCCAAGCTCGCGGGTCGTCTTTGTTCCCTGGCTGTCATTGGGCTTCCCCCGAGTGTGGTATTGAGGTCTTACTGCTGCGTCGATTTGTCCTTTTGCACAAGTTTCACGTGCTCAGCATTTGCAGGAGGGGGTGGGATTCGAACTCTGCCACTCCACTTCCGGCGTTTTGGGTAGTTAAGTGAAAGAGCTTTGACTGCCCAGGCTAGCTTTGAATCGGGATCATCAGATCTCAGCCTCCAGATTACAGGCACGAGCCACGGGCTCCGGCTCCAGACACTTGTAGAGCTTGAGGGACTCTGCTCTCAGGCCAGGCCCACAAGCAAAGCAAGCTCAGACTGAGACACTGTGGGCTGGGGGAGCCCTTCATCACCCTTCAGCCCAACAACTCTTCCCATAATCCCACATGCTTTCTTTTGTCAGGCCCGACTGAGCTGTGGCCTAGGTCTAAGCATAGAACCCTTACAGGAGAGCTCCTCGCTGCCCCAGGACAAATCCCCTGAGTGAAAAATATATTAAGAAGCTGCTCTTCACAAACACTTGCAGTGACCAGAATTCGTTTTTAAACAACCCAGCAAGCTACATGCACTTTTGCAAGCTGTGGTTTGGAGTCTTACCAAAATCGGAGGGGAAGGATGGCCATTTGTTTATTCCCTCAATAGTCATTTATCATATAACAGGTTCTGGGTAGCACATACAAGTGTAGATTCACACGCGTTCCGTAACATTTTTCAATATTACAAATTTTCTATCAGGTACTTAAAAGCTTTTGCTCAAAAGCTCTGTCCTCTTAGACCCACAAGTTGGTTAAAAAGGATAAAAATTTGTCACTTTGGCTTCCATTTTGCACCTGTGTCCTTCACTCAGCGTGCCTTCCTCTCAATCATGTTAAATTCCAAAAGCACAGAACTGATCAGTAACATCTTTGTGATCAAGAACCTAAACTACCCCTACAGAACACCAGAGCCTATCGAGGGAAAGACAAGTACAATGATGAGGCTACACCCTAGAGAAGTGATCATTTTCTGAGAACCAGCCTACTCCTTTTTTTCTTTTTCTTTTTGGTTGGTTGTGGGGCTTGAACTCTGGGTCTGGGCACTGTCCCTGAGCTCTTCAGCTCAAGGTGAGAGCTCTACCCCTTGAGCCACAGCACCACTTCTGGTTTTCTGGTGGTTAGTTGGAGATTGGAGTCTCAAGGATTCGTGCCCGGGACTGGCTTTGAACCTCGATCTCGAGATCTCAGCCTCCTGAGGAGCTAGGATTACAGGCATGAGCCACGGGCTTTCAAGTGATGACAGCAGTAACAACTCCAGAAACCCTTCACTGAACTAGAGATAACAGTCAGGTCACACAGAGACAAGGACTGTCTGCAGACTTCTCATCTCTGTTTAAATCGAGGACTGTCTGCAGACTTCTCATCTCTGTTTAAATCTAATTTTTTTTTTTTTTTTGTCGGTCGTGGAGCCTGAACTCTGGGCCTGGGCACTGTCCCTCAGCTCTTCACCTCATGGCTAGTGCTCTACCACTTGAGCCATAGCACCACTTCCGGCGTTTTTTCTGCTTATGTGGTGCTGAGGAATCGAACCCAGGGCCTCATGCATGCGAGGCAAGCGCTCTACCACTGAGCCACCTTCCCAGCCCCTAAATTCTTGTCTATACAGAGAAGATGGGCTAAAGTGATTGTGGTCTTCATAAGCCTTTGACTTTCCTCTCTCTTCATCACTATTTGACTCCTGTGTCTGGGTGTGTGTATGCAAGCCCCCAGTCCCGGAGCTTGAACTCTGCCTGGACACTGTCCCTGAGCTTTTTACCTCAAAACTAGCAATCTACATCTTGAGCAATAGCTCTGCTTCTGGCTTTTTTTTTTTTTTGTAATTGGAGTTAAGGGCATTCCTATCCTTGGCTGGCTTTGAACCAGAATCCTCAGATCTCAGCCTCTTGGATAGCTAAGGTTTACAGGGGGAGCCAACAGCGCCTGGCATTGACTCAAATTGGCGTTTGGGGGGAGGGGGGCGAGCAGCCACGTCTGACATGTGGAACATCTGGAGTTGGACCTCTTCAGGACAACTCTAATTACAAAATGAAGACCACACGCCAACGAGGTCCCATGTTTAAAGGTCTGGAGGTCTGTTACCACTGGCACTGAGCAGGGCAATTAATACAGAGCCGTGATTTTAACCCTGCAAGTTAGGGAAACAAAAGCCTATGTCCACGAAGTAATCTAATGAAGTCTTGGCCAAATGGTGATCAGGTGGGCGCTGCGAGACGGGTCTGTAAGACCCTAGGTAAGGAGGCTGAAATCACATCAAGTATTAAGACTTCAAAAGGCAGAATTTCCCTAATTTCAAAATCAAGCTGACAAAGTTTTCACATCTCACCAGGCAGCTTTACAGATTAGAACCGTGACCTCCACTTCCAGGTCCCCTGATTCCAAAGTCCCCCCCCCCCTCCATCACAGTAACTGACGACTGATGCAACCAATTCTGGAATAAAACCTGGGGTGCAAGCAACTCGATCGCGCCGCCCACCTACTCAGCCCCGCAGGATGCCACCCGTCCCCGCAGCGCGCGCGCCGGCCCGGAAACCCGCGCGAGAAACGCTGACGTCGGCCCAGCGCCCCGCTCCGCCCCTCGCTGTCCCACGGCTCCCGACAGGCCTAGCGGCGGGACTGGGGCGGCCGGAGAAGCGGCCCGGGATTGGGCGGCTCGGTGTCACGTGACCATGACCACGCGAGGGACCCGGCTCGGAGGGGACGGCGGCGCCGCGCGGACGGGGTTCCTGCGGGGGGTGGGGGTGAGGTGAAGGCGCCGGGTGGGGCTGAGTCCAGCTGTCGTCGAGCCCGGCCGGCCATCGGGTCCAAGCGTCTGGCGTCGAGTCGCCGCGCGCCCACCGCCGTGCAGCAGAGACCGACCGCCAATCTGCCAGGTCGCAGGAGCCGCCCGCGCCAGCGGACGCCGGCCATGGAAGCGCCGGACGCGGGCAGGTAACGCGGGGACGGCACCGCCCCACGCCCCCTCCTCGACGAGGCCGGCGCGGGGGCGGGGGCGGGGGCGGCGGCGGGAGGGCGGGCGCGCGCACGCGGGGTCGGGCAACGCCGCGGCCCAGTACAAAGGCCGGGCCGCGCGTGCGCACTGCAGGCCGGAACCGCCTTTCCCGCTGGCAGCGTCCAGGTCTCCAGCCCCGGTCCCCAGCCACTCCTAGCTAGCTTTAAAGATGAGCTGCGGTCTCCGGTAAATGCTGCTTCTCGAGTGCCATTCTTGGCTGCGTCTCTTTACCCTCTTCGATCGTACTAAGACTATGTAAAGAAGTGTACATAAAGATCGACCTCCTGCTGCTGATCAACTCCAGCTTTCCTGTTCAACTTTATCCGTTATGATGGCTTCCTCCCCCAACGTCCCAGGAAAGCAGCGTTACGGGCCCGAGAGTAGATAATATTGCTCTATATAGGATACTTTTTTTTTTTTTGTCGATCGTGGGGCTTGAACTCGGCCTGGGCGCTGTCCCTCAGCTCCTCTGCTCAAGGCGAGTGTTCTACCACTTGAGTCACAACGCCACTTCCGGTTTTCTGAGTGGTTTATTGGAGATTAGAGTCTCCAGACCTTTCCAGCCCGGGCTGGCTTGGAACTGCGATCCTCAGATCTCAGCCTCCTGAGTAGCTAGGATTACAGGCGAGAGCCACCGGCGCCCGGCAGGATACTTGGCCTGAAAATTGTCTTTGTGTTAGGGCCTGCTCTGGATACATTATAATTCATTAAAAAGGCCAGAATATAGTGTTTGAGGTCTTGTAGATGATAATTGATGAGCATGTTAACACATGGATCTCTAATTCTCCCAGAAGTGGAATGTACCCTGCATGGGTATTAATCATAAGCAAATTTTATATCTCAGTTATTGAATGTTTTGCAGAGGGGGAGGAAGCAAAACCAAAGACCAGTAGGCTACCGTATAATTTCCTAAGAAAGCAAGATCTATATACTAGATAGACACCACAGGATACTGAAATAGGCTATTATAGGATGTTTACCATATACCAGGTTCTGTTTTATGTTCCCTAGCTAGTTGAATTCTCACAACCAGTGAATTAGATGCTATGCTTTCCATGTACAGGCATGAACACTGGGGTATTAGGAGTTAACAGAAATTGTCTGTCCAGCTATTAAATGGTACAGTGGCCATTTGAATCCAGTCTAGCTTCACTGTTTGGCTCCCTAGCTTTTTCTCTTGGTGGGCAAGATGAGATGGAAGTTCACTTAAGTGAAATAAACACCTGGCTTACCACTAAAAGAATCAAGGGCAGACTGAAGAGAGGTCTCTGTTGATTTGCCAGGTAGCTCTGTCCCCAGTTTTATGCTTTAGCAGATTTTGAGTGCTCATGGCATGCTTAGGAAATTTGTGAGTATCCTGTCCCAATTCTAGGAGGGGCTTACAGAATTGCTAGATTGAGTAATCCCAGCTAGATGGACTGGTGAATCATCACTAACCAACCAGAAGAGGCTTGCTCCCTAATTGAGGTACAGAAAAGTCAGTGGCCTTGTGGAATGAGGGAGAAATTTTGCAGTGATGGTAAACTCAGTATGGATTAATGAGATTACAGCAGGTGTCATGATATGTCCCCAGAATGAGGAAGTTGTTAGCCCTCCTCAGTTTCAGGCTGATGAGGCCATATCCGGGGTGTTTGGTTCTGAGCACGAAACAATGAGCAAATTAGGAAGAAACTTGAAATCTGTACTACATGAGGAATAGTTAGATGAACTCAGAATTTTGACCTGCCTTAAATCTTTGTGCTGACAGCTTTTTGTTGTTGTTGGTTGTGGGGCTTGAACTCTGGGCCTGAGCTCTGTCCCTTAGCTCTTCAGCTCAAGGCTAGCCCTCTACCAGCGCCACTTCCATTTTTTTGGTGGTTTATTGGAGATAAGAGTTTCACGGGCTTTCCTGCCCAGGATGGCTTTGAACCGAGATCCTCAGATCTCACTCTCCTGAGTAGCTAGGATTACAGGCTTGAGCCAGCAGGGGAGCCCGGCTGTGCTGACAGCTTTTTATAGCTTGTGCATAGGTGAATATACACTCTGACACATAGCAATGTCAGGTGCACATTTGTAATAGTTCTGCTGATCCCAGGCCACTTAAGCCTCTCGAGTTAAGAGTTCAGATTATTTGGTATTTGGCATCATGTGTACTTATTTAAGTGAAGATGACAAAGTATGTTTAGCCACAGTGCCACTTCTGGCTTTTCTGAGTAGTTTATTGGAGATAAAGAGTCTCACAGGCTTTTCTGCCCAGGCTGGTTTTGAACCATGGTCCTCAGATCTCGGCCTCCTGAGCAGCTAGGATTACAGGCATGAGCCTGGCCAATATTGCAGAATTCTAAAGTGGCTGTTACTGTTTATAATTTGGACTTTGTCAAGTGTATATATTGAGATCTAACGGTGGCACTTGAGAGGTAATAGGAACATGGAGGATATGGAGAATAGTGGTAGCCAGGTTGCCTTCTAAATCAGACCTAACAGACCCTCATAATTTGTTGTGATTATATGGGACTAGGGTGTAGCTTAGTGGTAGAGCTACTAGGGTGTAGCTTAGTGGTAGAGCGCTTACCCAGCATGCTCAAGGCCCCTTGTTCAGTCCCAGGCCATATAAACTGAAGAGCCTTTCACAGCTATTACTAGGAAATTCCTATGATCTCATTTCAGAGAAAGTACTGGCTGACTTCACAGGACCAGTAAGTTTTATTGGTGGCACACTGTCATTAAACAGTGAGAGTGGGTGGTAGTGATGATAGATGCTTGTACTCCCAGCACCGGAGAAGCTGATAGAGGAGATTGTGAGTTCCAGGCTAGCCTGGGCTACACAGGGAGATGCTGTCTCAAAAGATGTTTTTTTTGTTTTGTTTTGTTTTTTTTTGCTTTTTCTCCTCAAGCAGAAACCAAAGGAACAAAACTTCCCTTAAACAGTCTATTTGATTAGTAAGCACTCAGCATAGATCAGCTGAATGTGCACTGAAGAAAATAAACCTCTCCTCCCCTGTTATCTACTCTAAATAAATACTATAATCTGCCTGCAAAATATTTGAATCTTGAAGGTTTTTTTGTTTTGTTTTGTTTTCTCTTTTTTTGGGGGGGAGGGTCAGTTGTGGAGCTTGAACTCTGGGCCTGGGCACTGTCCCTTAGCTCTTTAGCTCAAGGCTAGCACTCTACTTCTTGAGCCGCAGTACCACTTCCGGTTTTCTGAGTGGTTTATTGGAGAGTCTTACAGACTTTCTTGCCTGAGCTGGCTTTGAACCACAGTCCTCAGATCTCAGCCTCCTGAGTAGCTAGGATAACAGGCGTGAGTCACTGACACCCAGCAAGTTTTTAATAGCTGATCATTTAAACTAGCATTTGGATAATCATATCATTATAAATTGTACTCTATTGTTCTTTCAGCTATTCCCTTGAGCAAGCTCAAGCTTTTTACTCATTTCCATTTCAACAAATGATGGCTGAAGCTCCTACCATGGCAGTCATGACTGAGCAGCAAATGCCAGAAGTTCCTGCACCAGCTCCCGCCCAGGATCCTGCACCAGGTAGTTTTCTCTCTGACAGTTTACAAAATTAGATAATTGGATCACTTAGCTTAATTAAGAAAGCATTTAATGATGAATTTTAGTGGTAAAAGTGTAATTCATGATTTCTGTGGAAGGGATGACATTAATCAAGATGCACTGTACTCATAACCTGATTTAAGGAATTGTAATCTCTTTGTACAATACTTAATTAAAATCTTAAAATAAAAATAAAGCCAGATGCTGATGGTTCATACCTATAATCCTAGCTATTCAGGAGATTAAGATCTGAGGATCACAGTTCAAAGCCAACTTTGGCAGGAAAGTCCATGAGACTATTACCTCCAATTAATCACCAAAAAGCCAGAAGTGGAGCTGAGACTTAAGTGGTAGAACATTAACATTGAGCAAAAAAAACTCATGGACAACACCCTGGCCCTGAATTCCGGCCTAGGACCAGCCAAAATGAATGAATGAAAAAGAAAATATATATATGCACATACACAATATATATGCACACACACAAACATGTATATGTGTATATATGCACACATATACATATATGTGTATGTATATATAAAACAACCCAACCCTGTCATAGATATGGTTCATTTTCTCAGAAGTACCTCATAAAAAGAAAAAAATTATAATCCACGTATAAGTAGTTAGTATATACAGAACACGGTACATACTATATACATGCATACATACATACATGCATACATTGTTATTGGGAATGAAAGAAGATGGATTCTGCTTTTGAATGTAGTTGTGTAGTAAGTAAACATTTACCCCTGAGCCTACTACATGGTACAGGGGGTTCATGATAGATGGCCCTGAGATGTGACTGAGTTGGCACCTAACTAAGATTATATTTAGCCTGCTTCCTGAGAAGAGAAATAACACCAGAGCTCTGGAAGTCTAAAGGTGAGAAGACTTCATCTCATGAACAAGAGAGTGTGGAAGGCAAATGGTTGAAGGAACGGCATGTACCAAGGCACGGACTTGAAGAAATAAGTAGGTCAGGCACCAATGGCTCATGCCTGTAGACCTAGCTACTAGAGAGGCTGAGACTTTTAGGAATGCCATTCAAGCGTTTTCTTTCCAGCCCAGGCAGAAAAGTCACCAAGATTCCATTTCCAGTAACCAGCAAACCACTGGACTGGAGGAGTGGCTCAAGTTGTAGAGTGTTGCTCTTGAGCAAGCAAACCAAATGAGCATAAAGCCTCTGAGTCCAAATCCTGATACCACCAATGAAAAACACAAAAAACAAAACAGTGATTCTGTGTCATCAGGGTCCCAAGTAGTCAAAGAAATGGTGAAGTTTTATGGAATGTACATTCTATCCAAAGATCATAGAGACTGTTTGGTAGAAAGCAAAGGAATAGATTAGCTTTTTTTTTTTTGTCGGTCATGGGGCCTGAACTCTGGACCTGGGTGCTGTCCCTCAGCTCTTCAGCTCAAGGCTAGTGCTCTACCACTTGAGCCACAGCACCATTTCTGGCCTTTTCTGTTTATGTGGTACTGAGGAATTGAACCCAGGGCCTCATGCATGCAAGGCAAGCACTCTACCACTGAGCCATCTTCCCAGACCCCTATCCCCCCCCCCCTTTTTTTTTTTGCTGCCAGTCCTGGGACTTGAACTCAGGGTCTGGGCACTGTCCTTGAGCTGCTTTTGCTCAAGGCTAGCCTCTACCACTTGAGCCACAGTGCTACTCTGGCTTTTTCTTTTTATGTCATACTGAGGAATCAAATTTTGTGTATGCTAGGCACGTACTCTACCACTAAGCCACATTCCCAGCCCTAGATTAGCATTAAAAAAAAAATCAGTCTGGAAATTCTGCAGAGCATAGATTGGATGGTAGAGAGTAAGACAGGATTTGAGTCAAGGGGCATATTAGAGATGAAATAATTTAGAGATAAATGAGAAAGACAAGGTTAGAAAGATAGATTACTCAATTACCTGGCCAGGATTCAAGGATTTAGAGGGTAAGAGTGAGGAGTTTGGAAGTCATTTCTGCCTGTCCTTCTTATTTATATTTATGATAATGTGTTTATAATAATAATGTGCTTTATGTTTTTATAATAATGTGCTTCATATAATGTGCTTTATAATGTTCTTTATAAAGAAAAGAGGTACTGGATGCTTAGGTCATGGCATAAGCATCATCTACACAGGTAAAAGCAGCATGACAGATGACATTCCAGGGGCAGAAGTATATTTGTGAGGAAGATTATGTTGCTAGACAGGAAGCCAGAGAGAGACTAGCTGCCACAGTCTCTTACAAGGGCATTGTTCATGCCATTCCCTACCACAAGCAGCCTAGGGACTATGAACTCTTGGAGGACAAACTCAAACCATATCCATAGTATAGCAGGCTCACAGATTTCTGGGATAGGCATTTGGTTGAAAGAAGTTGCTGCTCACCAAGAATAAAGAATTAGAAGTCAAATAGATTTGGATGGGGGTAGGGGTGAGAGTAGGAGTGCTGGCAATAATTTCCTCTAGTGTAGCAGAATTTCTATGTGCTCAATTTTGATTATGTTCCCAGGCACATGCCTTGCTCCATTGCACTGAGCTGTCTGCTCTTGTTTCTGGGCAGTGTGCTTTAGGACATCCCCAGCTGCAAGCTAATGGTGATAGATCCCATGGCATAGGATCTAACTGAAGCAGTATAAGACAGAAGAAAAACACACCTTCATCCTGTCAAGCTTGGTTGGGAAAATACCAAATCGGAGTAGGATGGGGCAGGGAGCCAAAGAAATTAGGGAAGAAGTTAAAGACGAGTAAAATGATGAAGGTTTCCTTTTGGATACTTAGGTCAGTGACTCTCAACCCTGGCCACATTCTCTAGAGGGACGTTTTTGTGCGTTTCTTGTTTTGCTGCACTTTGTTTTGCCAGTACTCAGGGCCTCATGTTCTCAGCTGGCTTGTTCATATCTGACACTACCACTGTGCCATGCTTCTTGTCCAGCATTTTTCTTGTTTACTAGAGATAGTTTTCTACTTTTCTTCCTGGGCTAGCTTCAAACCTCAGTCCTGCAGGTCTCAGCCTCCTGAGTAGATAGGATTACAGGTCTGAGCCACCAGCACCTGGTTTATGTATAGCTTTCTAATACTGGGAAGTGAGATAAAGTGGGTTCCTTCCATCCTGTCTTCCTTTGTTCATTCTTCCATTTTTTTCCCCTTTAGAATTCCTATAAAATGATAGAATAGATAGATAGGAAGGTAGGTAGGTAGGTAGATAGATAGATGTACACAGATGTTTTTGTGTTGCTGGGGAGGCCAAGATGCCAAGATTATTTGAAAAGTCACTGATACTTAAGTGGGTAAAGTCTGCATGAACCCACTCTTAGAGTGGAAAACAGAATTCATTGTAGAGAACACTGACATAGGAAATGTGAGGTCATAATTTTGGGATGATAGAATAAATGAGTGCTCATAGACTTTTAAGGAAAAACCAATATTTTCTTAAATGTTCAAATGTTATGCATCTACATTCTGGAAATCATTGTGTTTCAGAGGCTCCAAAAGGAAGAAAAAGAAAAGTCAGGACAACAGAACCAAAAAAACCAGTAGAACCCAAAAAACCCGTGGAACCCAAAAAATCTGCTGAGTCAAAAAAATCGGGCAAGTCAAAAAAATCAAAAGAAAAGCAAGAAAAAATCACGGACACATTTAAAGTGAAAAGAAAAGTAGACCGGTTCAATGGTGTTTCTGAAGCTGAACTTTTGACCAAGACTCTTCCGGATATTTTAACTTTCAATCTGGACATTGTGATTGTAAGAATTTTTGTTCTTAATTTGATTTAGTAAACAGCATTGATAGATTAGATGTACTTAATACTTATTCTTACAAATAGCATTTTACTGAACAGACTATTCCAAAGAATCCTTCTATGGTAAATGATATCACTTTTATGAATAGGGATTGTTTAAGAAGGTAGGCCTCGGGCTGGGAAGGTGGCTCATTGGTAGAGTGCTTGTCTTGCATGCATGAAGCCCTGGGTTCGATTCCTCAGCTCTACATAAGCAGAAAAAGCTGGAAGTGGCACTGTGGCTCAAGTGGTAGAGGGACAAGAGCTGAGGGACAGCGCCAGGCCCAGAGTTCAAGCCCTAAGACCTGCAAAAAAAAAAGAAGGTGGGCCTCAAACTTTGCTGTTCATGTTCAGATCTGGTCACCAGGTATAGCCTTGAACAAGCCTTAACCTTCCTTCCTCACTGACAAAACAGAAGTAGTAATATCTTCTCCCAAGGCTGCAATTAAAGGAAATATATTCACGTAAATCATTAGATTATATAAGTGCTTATGGGTACTCTTAATATGACTGGGTTTGATCTAGTATTTTTGTCAGTAAAAATTAGCAGGCAGACAACTGCTTGGTGACATGGATCAAGTTACTTGTGGGCCCAGGTTGACTGATGGTTCCAGATACTCTCTCTCTTTCCACATTGAAGGTAGCCTACATCTGGGAAGGTGGAAGCCCTGGGGTTATGAAAGAGTCAAGCAGGGTTTTGGAAACAACAGCTAAACATTTAATATAAAATCTCTTTCCTCCATATGAAGTACTTTGTTAGGATGAAGCGTAGTGATTGATAGCAGTATTGCTTATGATACTAGATTAAATCTGAATTTTAATCAGTTCAGTCTTATCCATACTCCTAAGGTGTAAGGCCTACTTTTTTCTCATTAATTAGCATACTGGTTACCTAAAAGAATGGATTTTATTCATGTAACACTGATCTTACTTACCACCTATCCTCTTGTCCCTCCACTCCCATGTCCCCTTCCTCTTCCTGAATCCCCACCTCCTGCTTTGTTGTCATTGTTTTAATCTAGATTCTGAATATGAGAGAAAGAATGGGATGTTGTCTTTGAGAATCTGTAAGCTCTATTTTTTTTTTTTTTTGGATCTGGTCGTGGGGCCTGAACTCTGGGCCTGGGCGCTGTCCCTCAGCTCTTCAGCTCAAGGCTAGCACTTTACCAATTGAGCCTCAGCGCCATTTCCGGCTTTTTTTCTTTTTGCTTATGTGGTGCTGAGGAATCAAACCCAGGGCCTCAGGCATGCAAGGCAAGCGCTCTACCACTGAGCCACCTTCCCAGCCCAAGCCCTACTTTTTAAGACTAAAATGTATAATTATTTTGTTTTGTAGATTGGCATAAACCCGGGACTAATGGCTGCTTACAAAGGGCATCATTATCCTGGACCTGGAAACCATTTCTGTGAGTAGATGAATATACTTTTATGTTTCATGCTTTTTCTTTTTCTTGTCTGTCTGTCTGTCTGTCTTTCTCTCTTTCTTTCTTTCTTTTCTTTTTTTCTTTCTTTCTTTTTCTTTTTTTCTCTCTTTCTTTCTTTCTTCTTTCTTTTTGTTGGGCATGAGGCTTGCTCTGGGCCTGGGCACTCTTCCTGAGTTCTTCAGCTCAAGGCTAGCACTCTGTCACTTGAGCTACAGTGCCATTTCCGGTTTACTGGTGATTAATTGGAGATGAGTCTCATGGATTTTCCTGCCCATGCTGGCTTTGAACTGCAATCCTCAGCTCTCAGCCTCCTGAGTAGCTAGGATTAGAGGTATGAACCACCAGCACCTGGCTTCATGTTTTTCTCTGTATACATGAACATAAAGGGTCTGAAATCTGTGTTACTGGAGGGTTTGAAGTCATGCAAATAGGCTGTATATATTTTATGCAACTGGGGATCAAACCCTCCAGGGCTTAAGCATGATCTCTGCCAGTGAGCTATGTACCTCCCAACCCATACTTGTTCTGTGTTTTTTGTTTTTTTGTCGGTCGTGGGGACTTGTTCTGTTTTGACTCAAGATTTTTTCGTACTTTTTAAAGTGATTTTTTTTTTTTTTTTTGGTTGGTCATGGGGCTTGGCTTGAACTCTGGGCCTGGGCACTGTCCCTCAGCTCTTCAGCTTAAGGCTAGCTCTGCTTATATGGTGCTGAGGAATTGAACCCAGGGCCTCATGCATGCAAGGCAAGCACTCTACCACTGAGCCACCTTCCCAGCCCCTTTAAAGTGATTTTGAAAAATTCCTACCTCCGGATATAGTAGCCACAAACTTCTGTTGATGTTATTTCCTAAGAGATATGTAATGTATTGATCATTGGAGATCAGATTCCATATGACATATTATTTCAGTCCTCTATGGACACTTCATATCCAGCAGAAAATAATAATGAATCTCTCAGACTTGTAGAGTGAGCTTTCAAACCAAAACTAATTTCTGTTGTATTGCTCTTTTTATAAGTCTTCTTTAACACTGCCTAGCAGTATGGGACCTCTGAAAATAATAATTGATCATGTAAGTGTAACAATTAAAACATTTAGGTCAAATGATAAGAACATGGTTTTGGAACTGTTTTTTTGTTTGTTTTTTTGTTTTTTGGTGCTGGTCCTGTGGCTTGAATTCAGACCTTGGCACTGTCCCTGAGCCTTTTTTTTTCCCCCCTCAAAGCTAGTAGTGCTCTACCACTTGAGCCAGAGCTCCACTTCCAGCTTTTTGATGGTTAATTGGAGATAAGAATCTCATGGATTTTTTTCCATATCTCCTGGCTGTGTTCCCATTGTTTCTAAGAAATTTCTCAGGAAGTTTGAACTTTTTATTTTCTCTACTGTCAAAGCATTTGAGTGTAACCTATTGTTGTATGTCTATTCCAGAACAAGTGGTAACATCTGCAATAACTGAAATAAACTGTAGCCAGTAATCCTAGCTACTCATGGGGCTGAGATCTGAGGATCGAGGTTCAAAGCCAGCCTGGGCAGGAAAGTCTATAAAACTCAGTTAACCAGCAAAAAATCAGAAATGGAGCTGTGACTCAAGTGGTAGAGTGCTAATCTTGAGCAAAAAAAACTCAGGGACAGCACCCACATCCTGAGTTCAAGCTCTAGGACTGACAAATCCTGTGAAAGAATTTACAGTAATTGATTAAACCTTTTAATTACACTAAATCCTTTTTCTTCCTCGTGAACCTTCAAAAATACAAAGTAGAATACTTTAGCAATTATATGCTGTAATAAACTAAATGCTGCGTTTCCAGGGAAGTGCCTGTTTATGTCTGGGCTAAGTGAGGTTCAGCTGAATCACATGGATGACCACACCCTGCCAGGGAAGTATGGCATTGGGTTTACCAACATGGTGGAAAGGACAACACCAGGCAGCAAAGATCTTTCCAGGTAATTAATTATACAACATTCAGTTCTACGGTTGGAACTCCGGCCATGCTGGCACCTCATGTAATCAGGGAACCTCTTATGGCTTTAGTTCACATTGAGCTTACCAAATGCCTTAAACCTTGTATTGAATTTGAAACAAACATGTAAATAACATGTGAAGGTCTGAACTTAGCATATTATAAATACTACTGTTCTTACATTTTTTTCTTTTCTACTTTTTAATTCAATTTAGTAAAGAATTTCGTGAAGGAGGACGTATTCTAGTACAGAAATTACAGAAATACCAGCCACGAATAGCAGTGTTTAATGGAAAATGTAAGAATTCCTTTAAAATTTTATCTTCATCCTTTGCTAACATTAAGGGCAGTGTAAACATTTTTGTATTTCATTTTAGGTATTTATGAAATTTTTAGTAAAGAAGTTTTTGGAGTGAAAGTTAAGAACTTGGAATTTGGGCTTCAACCCCATAAGATCCCAGACACAGAAACTGTAAGTCCTTAAAGTTGCATTTTTAAGTCAGTTAAGTAGGAATTATTTTCTAGTTACCCTTTTTATATTTACCCCATTGTAATTTATGTTATGTAAAAAGGCCTTATTATATTCTGTTCAGTAATGCCTAGTTATCAATATTATACTAATAGTTAACCAATGAATTAAGATACTGCTAACTAGCATTGTATTTAAAAGATAAATCTGTGGGGTGTGTATGTGTGTGTGTGCACGCACACATGTGTGCACATTTGTGTTAATACTGAGGCTTAAACTCAGCCTCAGGGCTGTCCTTTAGCTTTTTCACTAAAGGTTGGCACTCTACTATTTGAGCCTACTTCTAATTCCTGGCTTTTTGCTAGTTAGAGATAAGAGTCTTATGGACTTTCCTGCCTAGGCTGGCTTTGAAATAATAATCACCAGATCTCAGCCTCCTGAGTAGCTGGGATTACAGGTATGAGCCACTAGCTTACTTCAGTTTTTTTTTTTTTTCTTTTCTTTTTTGTTGGTTAAGGGGTTTAAACTCAGGGCCTAAGTGCTATACCTGAGCTTTTTTTGCTCAAGGCTAGTACTCTACTACTTTGAGTCACAGCTCCACTTCTGGTTTTCTTGTAGTTAATTGGAGATAAACCTCATGGATTTTCCTGCCTGGGCTGGCTTTCAAACCACGATTCTCAGATCTCAGCCTCCTGAATAGCTACGATTATAAGTGTGAGCCACCAGTGCCTGGCTGTATGGTTTAGCTGTTTCCTAGCCTTAACTTCTTATAAATAGGTGGTTGATGAGTTCAGTGTAGCATTGGTATTTCTTTAAATGGAGGTCCATCTTTTGTCGATTTGTAAAATTGTATGAGTTCATAGCTCTCTGTAAGTTACTGCATGTTACAGAAAATCAAGTTGTATGTGAATTGCCAGAAGAGGCTCAGGTATAGCTCTTAGGTATATGTAAACAGAGAAGTAGAATAAATAAATGACCCTGAATCTTTTTTTTTTTTTCCTTTTCAATACTGGGATTTGAATTCAGGGCTTCACATTTACTAAGTTGTTGCTGTGTCACTTGAGCAACACTTCCAGCTCACCTTTATGGCTAGTTATTTTGGAGATAAAATCTAGCCAACTTTTCTGCCTATGCTGGCCTAACCTCAATCCTCCTGATTTTAGCCTCTTGAGTAACTATGATTATAGGCATGGGCCAGCAATGCTCAATTATGAATCATATCTTGATTGGTAGTTTTAGCTCTTATGATGAGCTAATACGTGTCTGGATTGGCTTCACATGAATTTATATGTGTTTATGTATCATATCTCAATCTAAGGTATTGCTTCTAATCTCAGCATGGTAAGATTTCTGAGCCTGTGATGTTTTATGATTCCAGCTGTGCTATGTGATGCCATCGTCCAGTGCACGATGTGCTCAGTTTCCCCGAGCTCAGGACAAAGTCCATTACTACATTAAGCTGAAGGACTTGAGAGATCAGTTGAAAGGAATTGAACGAAACACAGATGTTCAGGAGGTGCAGTATACATTCGACCTACAGCTTGCCCAAGGTATGTTACTGTATCCTCCTTAAATCCATGCTTAATCTAGGCTGTGGGCAGAATGCTTGGTTATGGGCACAAATCACTGTTCAGCTCAGGGCTTTCCATTTATCTTGGCACTCTCAGAAAGAATATGAAGGGGGCTGGGAAGGTGGCTCAGTGGTAGAACGCTTGCCTTGCATGCCTGAGGCCCTGGGTTCGATTCCTCAGCACCACATAAGAAAAAAGCCGGAAGTGGCGCTGTGGCTCAAGTGGTAGAGGGACAAGAGCTGAGCTGAAGAGCTGAGGGACAGCGCCCAGGCCCAGAGTTCAGGCCCCACAACTGGACCCCCCCCCCCCAAAAAAAAAAAAGAATATGAAGGACTGAGAAACATTATGCCACCTAGAGTTTAGTGTAACAGGTTTTTTACAGTTCTTAGGGGAACTAATTTAGGTATGCTAAAGTTTTTTAAATTGCTTTAAATAATATGTCTTAGCTTATATTTACTTTGAAGAATTGTTCATGAAGTTACTTTCAAAATTGTTGGACGAAATCAGCTATAAATCTTTTTTCCCTTCCTCACAGAGGATGCAAAGAAAATGGCGGTGAAGGAAGAAAAGTACGATCCAGGCTATGAAGCCGCGTATGGAGGCACCTACAGTGAAAACCTGGCCAGCAGCGAGCCCTGCAGCTTCTCAGATGGGCTAAGTATGTGTCCCAGTATGCACCTTTCAAAGAGCTTCTGTCAGGATTAGGGGCAGGGGACTGTGAGAGAAAGAGAATAAATGATGATTGGAAATGGTAATAATGTACTTGTATAGTAGCTAATAAGGAAATTTGATTATTTGATATTTCACTACACAGACTTTCATAGCTCATTTTCTTAAGAAACAGACTGACAACTAGCCCTAGTTACATTTTCTCCCTATAATAACAAATGAAGATTTATCAGTCCTTTATCTAAAAATAGATTCAATAGTTCTAATTGTATTCTAAAGCTTGTTCATTATTACAGTAATAATTTCCCTTTATGGCACTGCAAGAAAAATCTCCCAATTTGATGATTGAAACTTGTAAATGACATAGCTAACATTCTTTTTCTTTGCTAGCAGCCAACGGGTCACAGCTACAAGGAGAATCTACTTTTTCTGACATTCCCAATGGGCAGTGGATGGCTCAGTCATTTACAGAGCAGATCCCTTCCTTCAATCACTGTGGGATGCAGGAGCAGGAAGAAGGAAGCTGTGCTTAAGAATGGAGCCTCTCAGCTCAGCCTCAATGCCGCAGTTTTATTGCGGCTCTCAAGACACGGAACCTCAGTTTGTCGAACTGAAGTCTTTTCTTAGTACCTTAGTGATGTAATTACAGTACAGTACAGAACAGTTGTGTGTTAGATTCAACTGTGTGAACCTCAGTAGTTTGGGAAGAAAGGGTGGGGTTTTGTATATGAGTTTTTGTATTTGAATTAACTGCCATTCCAGGTTTTTTTATATATATATATATATAATCCATTTTATGAAGAAACTTGATTTTCTTTTGGGAGTCATTTTGATCTGTAAATGCAACTGTCTGAACATTTATAGTTTATTATTAACTGTGCAAAGCCCTAGATATGTCATTTTCCCTTTGACTGCCTAAGGAGACCAGACTAACATTAAGCAGCATTGCTGGGAAGGAGGCAAATGTAGGTCTCCACACAGGAAGCTTACTGTGGCATCTCCTGTTGTAGGTTTGGGGACTGAGGGTAAACTCGGGCACCCTGGTTATAGTCACACTCAGACCTCTTTGCTTTCCGAGTACAGGAAAGAGTGAGATTGCTAAGTAGCAGAAACACAGCATGTGTCCTTGAGGTGGCAAGGCTGAGTGGCCTTAACTCACAGGACACTGAGCCCTGTCCCAGGCCTCCTCCGCTGTGCCTCCCAAAGGCACAGACAGCTGCTGTGCTGGGAGGCTCCAGACAGTGTCACTAGTACTTGTGCTTTACTTGAAAGGCATAAATTTGATAGGGAAGTACTGGATCTCTGCCAGTGTTTATCACCTTTCTGATTTTACCCTCCTTGGCTTTAAGGAGGCTATGGAAGGTGGTGACATGGACAGTGGTAAGCAGTGAACTTATAGGCTGAGCAACAAGATGCTGGAAGTGTTCCATAATCTTATTTAAACTGGTGCTCTGTGTTCATGACATGTACTAAAATAAGATAGTTTTTCTTGTTAGGTGAAACAAGCCAACAACTAAAAACGCTTTCTGTGTATCCTTGCTATATGAACCTTAAGGAAAGGTTGGTTTGAATTCTGTACCTTTATGGTTTTCTAAAGCATTTTCTGTGGTGCTACAAATGGTCCAGACCTTTGGCCTGGCGGATATTAAATCTGGGCTTACAGAAATTACCATGTACAGCCACTCCTAGTCACTCTTGGAACAGTCAGACTATATACCAATGTATACCCAGAGAGCATGTTGGTTTGGCAGAATGAAATGTATGTGAGGTTTTTATGTCATCTGCAGAAGGTTCTAGAGCCTGTTCTTATATTTATAATGAGAGACTAATTGTTGTGAACCTTAACAGGTCTTTTAGCTGTTGTGATAATGGATTTTATGTTCCCTTAAGCCTAGGTCAAGCTGTGTACAGGACATTCATGTTATTTAAATGGTGCACTGTATTGCTGTTTACACGGACATTTTGTGCAAGTGCTTTGAAGTGCCTTGCATCAGGGATTAGGAGCAATTATTTTTTCATGGGACTATGGAAAGCATGTAATTAGGTATTGCTTTAGAATATAACTATTGTAGCTTTACAATGGGTTCTCTTATTAGACTGGAGAAAATACCCTTTAAATTATGATAAACACTCCCTGGAAAATGGGTGTGAAGATTTTCCAAGCATACAATCATGATGCTTTTCATCAAACATGGCAAATGAATAATAAATGTTGATATATCCTATACATGGCAGTATGAGATTTTTTTCATTAATATGGAAAGATTATTTAATTCGTTTGCAAGTCTGATATTTGTTTGGTTTGTTTGGGTTTTGTTTAATCTTTCCTCTTCCTTTTTTTTTTTTTTTTTGCAAGGGACACTAGGATTTGAACTCAAGGCCTCAAGCTTGCTAGGCAGGTGCTCTGCCACTTGAACCCCACTAGCTCAGGTACAGGCGTTAGGTGTTTCTTTTGGGACTAAGACTGGGACTCGAACTTGGTATCTGGCACTTTGCTTATTGGTTGGTGCTCTACCAACTGAGCCATGTCTCCAATCCTCAGGCTTCTTTATAGTAAGACTTAATGAACTGTTTCTCTTTTAAATCTGAGATCAGTTAACTTGCTATATTTAACATACAGAATAATGTACATGACGAACATCATTAAAAATCTATTTTATTTTTACAGGCGTCCATCTTTTTATTTCATAGTTAAAAAAAACCCATAAAGTTGGCAATTTACTAAGAAGTACCTGCATATATAAAAATATTTTAGAAGCTTTTTAAAAAACTTGTGGGTATAATTGTCATTAGTATTAATAAGCAAATTAGTTACTGGTATCTAGATGGATTTATTTCTATAATCTTGATTTTCATAGTTTCCACTTGTGCTGAGTACAGGGGGTACACCCCTACCCACCCTAAATCTCAGCATTCAGAGACTAAGGCAGGAAGATCTCAAGTTCAAGGCAAGCCTAACTGGGATACCTAGTTAGGCTCTGTCTCACACACACATAGCCATGACTATCACTTGTGCTTCAGGTAGTAAATGAATCCCAACATGGTTTAAGGTACAATTTACACAGTTTTTGTTTCTTACATTGTGGGTCACAGCTATCAAAGGTACTGTTCATAAGGAGCAATGTAGTAGGCTACAAAATTTCTACATTTTTATACCAGGAATATTTTAAATGTTGGGCTATATCAGCTATTGTGATGGAGTTTAAATATTCCTGAAGGATCAGGAACAAACCAGCTTTCCCATAAGTTGTTGTGGACACTAAGAAAGTCCCATGGCTTATGTCTTCCATTCCAGTGGAGTAACTTAGCTTCCTGCAGAAAGTGCTCTGAATATCTGGCATCGGGATTCCAGCCTTCATGTGTGCAGAGGAAAATAATGGGATTATTAGAGAATACCATTTTTATATTAAAATTCTTGACAAGTTTATAAAGGTAAAGCTAAAAATAATGAAAACAATATTGCCATTGCTCAATAATTTTTAAGTACTTACTGAAGCATATTAGATTATGTAAATACTAATATCCTCTGTGTAGCTGGGCACCAGTGGTACATGCCAGTAATTGTTACTACTCATGAGGCTAAAAGCTGAGGATCACAGTTTGAAGCCAGACCAGGCAGGAAATTCCAAGAGACGAGACTGGTTATCCACCAAAAAGCTGGAAGTGAAGCTGTGGCTCTAGTGGTAGAATGCTAGCCTTTAGCAAAAAAAGCTCAGGAATAGCATTCAGGCCCTGAGTTCAACCCCAGGACTGACCTCTGATGGTAAAGTTTCTGTCAAAGGTAGTAAGACATGTTTCAGCTTCCTGGTACTCATCTGTTAAACGAGTGCTCTACCACTTGAGCCACAGCACCACTTCTAGCTTTTCTGCTTATGTGGTGCTGAGGAATTGAACCCAGGGCCTCATGCATGCAAGGAAAGCACTCTACCACTGAGCCACCTTCCCAGCCTAACCATTATTCTAGGAGGTTCTAATACAGAAACCCACCCCTGCATATACCATACTTCAGTCAGTCTGGTCACCTATATATATATATATATATATCCATGTTTTCATGTGAGAGAAAACATACCCCTTGATATGACTTTTTTTTTCCTGGTTAATCCTTGCAAATGACTACTTCTGGTAGATGAATAAAATTCGTGTTTTTTTTGGGGGGGGGGGTCGGTTGTGGGACCTGAACTCTGGGCCTGGGTGCTGTCCTTCAGTTCTTCAGCTCAAGGCCAGCGCTCTACTGCTGAGCCACAGCATCACTTCCAGCTTTTTCTGCTTATGTGGTGCTGAGGAATTGAACCCAGGGGCTCATGCACGCAAGGCAAGCACTCTACTACTGAGCCAACTTCCCAGCCCCAATTCCAGTGTATTTATGTACCACATCTTGACTCATTTGTTGGTTGGAGGGCATCAGGGCTGTTTTTCAGAACTTGGATATTATGACAGTGCTGCAGAGAACATGCACACGCAGGTGCCTATATTGTATCCTGACTTTCTTTCGGATAAATGCCCACAAATGGTATTGCTTGATCCATTTTTAGTTTTTGGAGGAATTTCCACAATGCTTTCCATAGTGGGTGCACTAGTTTACCTTCCCAGCAACAATGTAATCCCGCATCTTGTAATCCCCGTATTTGCTTCTTAATGGCCATTCTGACCGAAGTGAGATGGAATCTCAATACTATTTTGATTAGCAGTTCCTCTCTGGCCAAGAATGGCGAACATTTCTTCATGCATTCATTGGCCATTTGTACTTCTTTTTTTTTCTTTTTCCCTTTGGGTCCGGTCGTGGGGCCTGAATTCTGGGCCTGGGCGCTGTCCCTCAGCTCTTCAGCTCAAGGCTAGCGCTCTACCACTTGAGCCACAGCCCACTTCCAGCTTTTTTCTTTTTGCTTATGTGGTGCTGAGGAATTGAACCCAGGGCCTCAGGCATGCAAGGCAAGTGCTCTACCACTGAGCCACCTTCCCAGCCCCTGGCCATTTGTACTTCTAAGTTTCTGTTTAGCTCTTTTGCCCATTTGTTACTGGGTTCTTGATTCTTTGGGAGTTTTAGTTTTTTGTGTTCCTTGGATATTTTCAGTAATTTGACCCTTATTAGATTTATAGTTGGCAAAAATTTTCCCTTTTGGTAGGCTGTCTTTTTAGCTTAATGATCATATCCTTCACTGTGTGGAGCTTTTTAGTTTGACGGAATCTCATTTGCCAATTCTATTTGTTGAGCCCCTGTAGTTATACTAAAGTTCTTGCCTATGCCAATAAGTGCTAGAAAAAACATCGCTACTCCTTCTTATGGTGGTTCCAAGGTTTCAGGTCTTATGCTTGAGGTCTTTGATCCACTCTGAGTTGATTATTAGTGACAGGGATCCAGTTTCAGTCTTACATGTGGATGTCTCATTTTCCTAGACCATTTATTGAAGAGGTTATCTTTTTCCAACATAGACTTTGGCACCTTTGTCAAATTCATACAGCTGTAGGTGTGTGAATTCATTTCTGGGTCTTCTAGTCTGTCCCCTTAGTCTTCAGTTCTGTTTTTGTGCCAGAACCAAACTGTTTTTGTTACTATGGCACTGTAGTATACTGCAAAGTCTGGAATTGTGATATTTCTGTCTTTGGTATTTGTGCTCAGGACTGTATTGGCTATTTGGGACCTTTTAAATTTCCAAATAAATTTTTGGTATCCTGCTAAATTGTGTTTCCAAATAAGTATTTGGTATCCTACTAAATTGAATTAGAGTGCAGAGAATAGACATCCCTGTCTTTTCCTGAATTATTTTATTTTTTTTAATTTTTTTTATTTATAGCCTTTATTCTGTTAAATACAAGTTCTTCTATTCCTAGCTGTTATCATAATAGGATACTGGAGTTTTTCAAGAGCTTTTTCTGTATCGATTGAAATTGTCCTGTGGTTCTTGTCCTTGATTGTATGTTGTGTTATGCTTACTGATTTACATGTGTTGAACCAGCTGTTCATACCTGGGACGAAATAAACTTAATCATGGTGTACAATTTTTTATTAGTTGTGGAATTTAGCTAGCAAGTGTTTTATTGAGGAGTTTTGCATCTATGTTCATCAAAGAGATTGGACTATATCTCTTTTTGTGTCTTTGACTGGTTTGGGAATGGGTTTAATACTGGCTTTGTAGAGTAAGTGTGGTAGTGATTTTTACCATTTCTATTTTGTGGAAAAGCTTAATTAGTATTGGTGTTAGTTCTGTAAAGGCTTTCTAGAATGAGAATCTTTTGAGTTCTGGACTTTTCTGGTTTTGGATATTATTGCTGTTTCAGTCTCATTGCTTGTTATAGATCTGTTTATATCCTTCTGGCTCAGTTTTGATAGGTTGCTGTTACCTAGGAATATATCCATTTCTACTACATTTTCCATTTATTTTCTAATTGTAAAGTACTCCCTTACAATGTTCTGGGTTTCACTTGTATTTGTTATCATATGCCCTTTTTATCCCTATTTGGGTGACTTCTTTTAGTCAGCTTTATTTATCATATGCCCTTTTTTAATCCCTATTTGGGTGATTTCTTTTAGTCAGCTTTATCAATTTTGTTTATTTTCAACCAACTTTTTGTTTTGGTAGTTTGTATAGGTTTTTTAGTCTCCACTTCATTGATTTCTGCTCTAATCTTTATTTTTTTTCTCATCTACTGTTTAGAAGGGAATTAGCCAGGGTTATGCTACTCTGATTTATAATGTTAACAGCAAAAGTGGTATTTGTTGTCCATAAGCATAGGAGTCATGGCAGATGCAGAAGAGGAACTAGTTATTAGAATAATGATCAGCTTCCAGAGAATAGACACAAAGTAATCAACACATTTGGGAAGAAATCTCTGCATGTAGAAAGTCTTTATTAAGAACTCAGTTCCATGAGTGGAGACTGGAACTGTATCAGAGGGGCATGTTTGGCTTTTAGGTATCTTTATAAATTTGATGTACTTATTTTTTAGGCACTAGGGACTTTTGAACCTAGGGCATTCACAAATCAAATGTTTTATAAATGTAAGAAATCTTACCCTACCTGTTTATACTCAAACCTATTACCTTCTAGTATTAGCACTGTTTCTGTGCCCATAGCTATCTAGAGCGAGCTCTTTTTTCAAAGTACTTGTAGACATGGACTTTAAAGGCCATGCCTGATTCCAAAGGCTTATGGAAAAAAAAAAAAGAACTTCTTTTCCCTAGGAAGATGGTGTTCCTGGGCTGGGAAGGTGGCTCAGTGGTAGAGTGCTTGTCTTGCATACATGAGGCTCTGGGTTCGATTCCTCAGCACCACATAAGAAAAAAGCCAGAAGTGGCTCAAGTGGTAAAGCGCTAGCCTTGAGCTGAAGAGCTGAGGGACAGCGCCCAGCCCCAGAGTTCAGGCCCCACGACTGGACACCCCCCCCCAAAAAAAAAGGAAGATGGTGTTCCTTCCTACTTGACATCATTAAATGTATTCCTCAGTCTCTCTTCCAGGACCATAAAATGTTTAACCTTATTGACCTAAGTAGTGCACAACAAATGATACAGATCTCCAACTTCACTGAGATTTTCTGCACATGGAAATAATTACAAATCAAGTCAGTTAGGATGCAGTGGCCCTGTGTTTTCTGCCTGATTCTTAGGTGCATGCTTATGCTCAGAATGTAATGATGCATGGAATCAATAGAGGAAACAGCAATGCACTTTCCAGTTGTTATCTATCCCTTCTTTTGAAAATAATAAAGGGTCTGAGGCTATGGCTTATGTGATAGAGTGCCTACTTAGCAACACAAGACAGAACACTTTGCAGGATGGTGAGAATCAGAAATGATATTCACTCTTCTCATCAGAACCTAGCCCAGTTCTTGGAAACATAACAGCACCTAGTAAATGTAGTCTATGTCTATTATCTTCAGTTCTACAACAGCTCTTGAGAGTCTGAAACCAAAGGCCTTAACTCCCTGGCACTAAAATTTATGTCCTATGAGGCATCATGTTATCTTTCTAAGGCCCAGATTTTCTAAAGTTCTAAACAGGTCTGGCCCATGGTTTTGTCTACAGCCTGTGGTCCTGTGTTAGGGTGAATATGAATAAGCTTCCTATGCGGAGTGCTCTTCCAAGCAAGTTACAGTGTTTTGTAGTGGATTTCTTATAATATCATCAGATGCCATTAGCTTCAGCTTCTGAAGGAGGAAACTAAGAGGAATTGAGTTGCCTGCTCAAGGTTGTATACACAAAGCTGAGCATCACACAAGCTCTCCACCCCCAGAGTTTGCATTCCTACCATGAATAAAGACTTACAGACTCACACAGGATAAAGTCAAGAAGCTTCTTTTCAAAAGCAATGCCAGTTGTTAAAGTTGTCAGGATTCTATGCTACTTCATTTGGTTTGTCCATTGCAAGATGGCAGGCATGCAAACAGGCCTGGACAGTTATACTTCAATAACAGTTTGTCAAGCAGCTACTATATGCTAAGCCCTTTTCATGGATTCCTATAAACACACCTCTCGGATAGCTAACAAACGTTAGCTACATTTGCACAGTGAGCTTAAGTGCCACCCCTTTTTGTTCCCTGTTTGTTTGGTTTTGTTTGTGCTGGTACTGGGGCTTGAACTCAGGGCCTTGCACTCCAGTTTTTTTGTTCAGTGCTAGTGCTCTACCACTTGAGCCACACCTCTAGTTTTAGCTTATTGCTGGTTATTTGGAGATAAGAGTAGTGTATTTGTCTGCCCAAGCTAGCTTCAAACTATAATCTTCAGGTCTCAGTCTCCTAAGTAGCTAGGATTATAGGCATGAACCACCAGGCCTGGCCCACTCCAAGTGAGGAGTCAGATAAGGTACACTGAATGACTTTTCTAACACTTACCCAGGTGCCGAATGTGCCACAGAGGGTTGATGGTGGAGTGTTTCCCATGGAATACGATGAGCATGGGTGAGGTGGCCACCCCTCCTCCCAGGGAGCTGCTGTAGAGATTTTCCCTAAAAAACCGGAGGGAAAGCAAAATGAGGCCTAGAGCTGACTGCCACCAACTCAGATAAAACAAGCTCTAATACAGCCCTCTAGAAAAGAGGCAAGACATTTTCCACTGTCCAGTAGGACTCAACAGCCTTTCATTTTTCCCTGTTTTATTGTTTTTATATTGATTGATTGATTGGTCATGGGTCCTGGGCGCTGTCCCTGAGGTTTTTTTTGCTCAAAGCTAGCGCTCTACCAGTTTGAGCCACAGTGCCACTTCCAGTTTGCTGGCAGTTAATTGAAGATAAGAGTCTCACAAACTTTCCTGCCTAGGCTGATAATTTTTTTTTCCGGTCGTGGGGCATAAACTCTGGGCCTGGGCGCTGTCCCTGAAAAATTCAGCTCAAGGCTAGCGCGCTACCGCTTGAGCCACAGTACCACTTCCAGTTTTCCCAGGCTGATTTTGAATCATGATCCTCAAATCTCAGCCTCCTGAGTATCTAGGATTACAGGTGTGAACCACCAGTGTGGCCCGAGCTTTTAAGTTTGAAGATTGTCTAGTCTCCATAAAATTGTAAGAACACCATCAACTCTCACATAACTTACCTAAATTCACAAGGCTAATATATATATATATATATATATATATATATATA